GTTGCTTTAAGCAACCATTACCAGACTTACCTGGTATTTACCAGCATTGGTAAATCCCTCTTTTCATGCAGTGATCCTGTCCTGTGTTTATACTCTGTGTTGGGGCAGTTGATATAACTTGAGTGTGCCGTAATGTTGGCATATAAAAAAAAGTTTAACAGGTACACTGACGGACATGTATCGCTTCCCTAGCTCGTGTGTACCACGATGAAGCTGTATCAGACCCTGCCTGTACTGTGCCTGGTCGCGGCTGTCGCCCGGGGTTCGCTCTGTCCTGAGTACTGTGACTGTTATCCTGGGGAGAACAACACCAGCACCATCGTCACATGCCGCGGGGGGAACATCACCAGAGTCCCCACCGACTTCCCAGCTAACACAACGTACCTGGACATAGGTATGCATGTATACATGGGAAAATGTATATAATGTTTGTAATCTCCAAGCAGATCATACGGTGGCAAGGCAGTATCCATTGGCCAGGGGAGTGTCCCCATGGTCAATGAATACTGCCTTGCCACCGTATGATCTGCTTGGAGATTAGATGTTTGTTCACCACTGACGCATTCAATACCAGACACAGGAGATTATGCTAGCCATTTATCAACAGACTGCACAGCATAAAAACAGGATTATGCAAGGTCTTTTGTAGTCTGATTGTCAATTCAAACATTTTTGTTCTTAAAAATGCTGTATGTATCAATTGTTGTATGTATATCATCATGAAATCAAAGTTCATCTGTGTTGGTAGTTACATGATTACATCTATTTCGTACTGGGCCAAACCACAGGTAAGCTAGCGACATTATAGAGCGGGCGAATACTACGGTGGATGGCACCCAGGTTACCCATATGGGGCATCCCGCCCAGGATGTACATGTTTAAAGTCAAAACTTTTGTTTCAACACAAGACACTGTTCTCAATTAGAGCTTTCGAGAACAATTCCTTGTGTTGGAACAAAAGTTTTAAATTGAAGCACAGTTTCCTTGTGTATCTCAATACCCTGATGTCTGACCTTTTTTTGCATCGTTTCAGAATTCACGAACATCACAAAGTTGCAAGAAGGTGATTTCCGTCGTCTGCCTGTGCTGACGTCCCTACGCATATTTTGGAACGTGCAACTGACGAAGTTGGACGTGGAGACGTTTTCTGTTGTGCCCACCCTCACCGACCTCAGTATCTCCAACTGCTCTTTCTCCAAGTTCCCTTCTGGCATGCTGAAGGGGCTGGAACACCTCCAGACGTTTGACGGTGGGCACAACCTCCTAGAAATGGTTCGGTCTGGACTGTTCAGTCATCATCCTACTCTCGAAATGATCAACATTTGGCAGAACAACATTTCTCACCTCGAGCCTGGAGCTTTCGCGGGCATGCCCCGTTTGAAAAGCATACTGCTAATGAACAACATGCTCACCTCTGTTTCTGAAACAGCGTTTTCTGGTTCCCCCAATATCCAGTCATTGACTTTCAGCTTCAATACCATCAGCAGGATAGACAAAGATGCATTTGTAGGGTTGAATCGACTTCAGTCTGTGGATCTGCAGCAAAATATGCTCACCAATATTGACGGCGTATTCGGGGAGTTGCCCGATTTGAAGGCGCTCACGCTCACCAACAACGTTAACCTTCTGGACTCTATCCACAACGCAACATTCGGCAGTCTCCCGTCCCTTGCAAACCTGTTCCTTGACAAGAATAAAATCTCTGTGGTGGAGAAGGGAGTCCTTAGTCACCTGAAAAGTCTCCAACAGCTAAATCTCGGCTACAACGAGATTGTAGACATCTCGCTCACAGGACTTACCTCTCTGACAGAACTTTACGTTCAGGACAACCGTCTCAGCAGTTTTCCCTCCAACATGGCAGACGCAGCCCAACTACAGGTACTGGAACTGGAGAACAACCCTGTTGAAGAACCCCTGCATGCCGGACAGTTCTCTGATCTTACCAGGTTCGTTTTTTACATATCCTGCTTATGTAGGAAGGACATATCATGGCTGAAATGGGGAGGGGCCACTGGCTTACAATGTGTCAATAATTAAAATGTATAATGCTGATACATGTACATGTTTTTGTTTCATATCTGAACGATCTCTAGAACAGGAATGTTACTCAAGCTGTCATTCTCATTTCACCATGTGTAAAAATCATTTACTTTCCTTAAGTCTCTTTGTGCACCACGGCTACTTTTGAAAACTCAAGACCTGGTTTTCACGACCAGATCTTGTATTATATTAATTTCCCTCTTTTATCATGATATCTAGGTTGCGTCGACTTACCCTGGACAACGTCACGAGTCTACAGTCAGCCGGGACACTGGACCCTCGGGCGTTTTGCGGATTGGACCACCTGTACCTTCTCTCTCTCAGATACAACCAACTGGTCAGTCTGTCCCCAGATACCTTCACGTGCGTTCCGCAGTTGACGCACTTGTACCTCGATCATAATAACATCACGGAACTAAAGCTTGGAACTTTCAAAGCTTTAACCAAGCTGACTGACTTGTATCTGTCGTACAACCAGTTGAGCCGTATCTCGCCTGGTACTTTTGATGGCCTGGTGAAACTTTTCTTTCTGGCACTTGGAGGAAACAACTTCACCAACATCTTACACGTGGCTCCGGCGCTAGCGGGCTTACCTTGCCTGGATATACCTGCCCTGGACGACAACGCTTTGGTGTACGTTGGACCAAACTCTTTTCCTGACAACATGGCAATAGATCTTCTGAATCTGTCAGGCAACAAGATTCGCATCATAGAGGAAGGCGCTTTCACCGCGCGAGCTTTCCCAAACATGACCAGAGTGTGGTTGGACGAAGGCAATCCGCTGCATTTCCTGCCAGAGAAGATTGTAGACGGGCTTCCGAAGTTTCTAACTTTGACCGTGGGCGACGATCCGTTCAACTGCGACTGTCAACTGAAAGGCTTCGCCACATGGCTTCGCAACCAGGTCAACCCACCTAACGCTTACCTGGTCTGCAGTAGCCCGGCCCACTTGAAGGGAAAGTATCTCAAAGACGTCGCCTTGGAAGACATGACCTGTAACTGCGATCACGAAGAGGCTCCGTCCATTGACACAAGCGGTAGCGACAACTACACCGACGAAGGGCAGGCAGCCATCTTGAACTGTAACATCTCAGGCTGTCCCGAAGCCGAGTTTTTCTGGACCACGCCCACGGGAGCGATGCTGGCGGTAGGGTCAGGGTTTCCCAGGTTGGAGGTTCAGGCAAACGGCTCGCTGGTGTTGGACGATGCCAGACCGGAGGACACAGGAGCGTACTCTTGTACTGCCGTTAACTACCGTGGGAAGGACAGCAAGGAGGTATTTCTCAGAGTGGGTGGTGGATAGTAGAAGATAGTGTTTATTGGTTTATTTGTATCAACAAGAACATGACTGGCAGCCGCGGGACGTTCAAGGCTGAATTTCGATGCTCTTTACAATAACATAAATCATTCATAGTAGGGCCATTAATACAAGTCGCAATCACGTCTGAATCGACAGATTAAACACTTTGGATCAGTGAATTAAAATGTCTACAATAATACCTAACAATTATACCTAACACACCTAAAATAATAATACCTAATTAGAGAGTCAGGGCGGAGGACACGGGCGTACTCTTGTACTGCCGTCAACTACCGTGGGAAGGACATCAAGGAAACATTTCTCAGAGTGGGCGATGAATAATGATGTAGTATCTAATGTCAACAAATCATGTTGTGTGTATTTTGCAACTGCTGGTCTGCCACCTAAGCAACCTCTTAAACAACCTGCTAAATTGTACGGAGAATCTCTGAAATTAAGAATCAAGAAGAAAAAGAACATGTACAGTAGAAGATAGAGTCAGAAAGGCCACACTGTTCTCCACTCTTCGACACTGTTAATAGTAGATATATTCGACATTCTTCATTTTCATGCATTCATTTACACGCTTTTGATACTATGTGTCATATTTTACATAGCGTGCTTATGCTTTGCTTGTTCATACTTCATGTCATTTGTTATGTCACGAGCATACGCCATGGACTTGAGTATGAAGTCACCACGTTTAAAATTTGTCTTTAAATGTGACAATTTGAACATCGCCATTGCGTCGTCATAAATCAATTTAAAAAAATCAAAGCTATCTGACCGAATCCCTGCTCATAACATGTAAAACCGGACGCAAAATCTGCATGGACCCTCGACCAAGTAAAATCAGTGCAATATCCGTCGTTTTGAGGCCGGATATCTGTGGCAAACCTACTAAAATCGAATTGAACGCTGGCGTCACATCATGATCAGTGACGTCAGGCCATGCTACAGGTTAAATGGGTGGGATGGCGTTTTGATTTGATTTTGTCACGTCGGTAAAGGTTAGACATCCACGTAAAAAGATACGCCAAAAAACAATTAATCAGCAACTGGATATGATTTTGGAAACTGTCAGACGTTGTCTAACTTTATTTCCTATTGGACTTCTAAAAATTTGTCTTCACTTATTTGCATATCAATTAATAGTGTCACTGGCGAAAGGTAATGGATGCTACCTGAAACGTCTGACCGTGTCCAAAATCATATCCAGTTGCTGTTTTTGGCTTATTTTATCACGCTTTATTCCCCGACTTTCACGCGAAGAAGTAGAACAAGACATGACGCGCGTGTACTTTCAGAATCAAAATTGTCCTCCGACATTAAATTCTGTAGAAAAATCAGCTCAATATGCTCGGAGATGTCGTTTGGAAGATGTCATTCTTATTCCAGGCAAAATACAACATGCTTAATGGATGAAAGTGACGGAGAAAGACGCGGGTAGCTATAGTAAATATAATCAGGATGTAGGGAGTTCCTGCGTCTTGTCTTTGCCGAGGGCCTCGAAAAAACAAAACCAGAGTTCCGTCTCATGTTTTGACCAGAAAGACGATACGGGGATTCGGTTGTTATTGAAAAAAAATGAGTAGCCTGGGTGCCATCCTCCTCCACAGTTTCCGCAGGCTCCCTAATGTCGCTGGCTACGACATGATAGCTCCTCCACAGTTTCCGCCGGCTCCCTTATGTCGCTGGCTACGACATTATAGGGAGCCGGCGGAATCCACGGAGGAGGATGGCACCCAGGCTACAAAAATGAGAGGAAGTGTTGAACAAGTAGGTGGCAGAGTGGTCCAGTGGTTAAGGTTGTTGATGTAGGATACAAATTCTGGGTTTGAATCTCCAGCGGGCCTTAATGATGAACAGTTGGGGAAGGCGCTTTACACCCATTTCCTCAGTAGACTCCGGTTGAAAGTGAATACCTAGCTTCGGTTAGGGACGTCCTCTTGGACGGGACATTAAGCAGGAGGTCCTGTATACGTATTTGAAGAAAGGCACACATTGAGCACGTTAAAGAAACCATCAGGGATAAAACTAGATCATGTCATGCTATAAAAATATTCAGGTGTGTGCATTTGTAGTTCTTTATGATTATTTACTTTCACAAAGTGCTCAGCATTTCGATGAGTCGAGTCAAAATGCAGTTCTGTATCCAGTTGGTTAAATATTCAATTCGACAACAAGATACCGGAAAAAGTGCACGCGTGTTGCTTCAAAAGCCATGTGAATGAGGTTGTTGACACCAAGCTTTGAAGATGGTTCTTTGGATACTCCCTGCATGCCGGAATAAGGAAATGTCATGGAGTTTTGTTCAATAGCGCTCCGAATATGATCTGGTGCCATCGCCAGAGGGTCTGATTAGTGATGCAGCTCTACAGTAATATCATAGATTCACTCATATAACCGGAGACTGCTGCAGCGACAACATCGGTGGAAAACAGACTCTGGAAGAAAGACGCGCTTTGCGCATCGGTAAGTGTAGTTGTTCATTTATTAAGATTCACTACATTTATCTTATCTACTTCTATCGTAGAGTGGAGCTCGTTGCCACCACGGACAGTTGGGGCATCGTCACTAGAAAGCTTTTAACAACTGCAATGAAATGTGCAAAGATTGTGAGTAACAAGTCCTTCGGTGTGATATAGCTAGCTGCCGCCGCGCCGCGGGCCTGTGAAGCTGGTGTGTTACGCCGAAGTGCGGTTATACCGGCTATACAGATGCATTTAGATTGTCATGTTACTCTATGGCTTTTTCAACACGTCAACCCTGAGACTAAGACCAGACTGTAAGCTATGAACCACTCACACCAGGAAGGACCAATCTTTTCAATAAAAGAGTACGTCTTTTCGATAGAATATTAGGGGTGGGATCTTTAACGTACTCAAGTTCTGACCCTAAGTTAACACCGAACCTCCGGCTTTACGTCCCATCCTAGAGGACGCCCCTAACCGAAGCTAGGTACTCATTTCCTCACATGACTGAAGGGAGAAAATAGAAGTGTCTTTCTCATGGACACAGCACTGGGGCCAAGAATTCAAATGTAGAACCTTCGGACCAACAACCCTTACCATAAGACCACCTTTTAGCTTGCCACTTTGATAAATGTTGAATTCTTGAATTGTATAATCTGTGGATGTCGCCCACCCAATCAATTCCAAAAGCACACTTGTTTTCCTATCCTTTGGCAGAATTCCATTTTAACATTTCATAACTAATTATGCAAATGTCCTCAGCATTTACATAATCTATGTATAGCGTTATTCACCTTAAACAGTGTGAATTTACCAACATCTACCACTCAGAAATTATGGCAGTTTCTAAGAAAATTGAATATGCATGTCGTTCCTACGTAGCTTGTTATTGGGTTGGGTGTTTTTGTGCTGTACTCTGCTGCAGACAGCTGGTGTAGTCAGGGGAAAACGGCTACCTCTATTTAAAAATCGAGCCTAGTTCTTTCTTTTGTCTTGTGCGATTTCAGATGTCATGCTTGCGTCGTGTTTTCGGCTTCAATTTTCTTCTTATATGGTTGTGATGCGCATGGTTCATTTCTGTGCCATAATTTCTTCTGTAACACACCAGCTTTGTATTATACGTTCTTTATTGACTCAACAAAGAGTCCAGGGACTTTCGTATGGTCGTCTACAACTAAAGAATTAACAAAGCTAAATGCATGTATGAATAACGTCATCCTACGTACAGAACATATGTATGCGGCAAACTACATACAGAATATATGTAAGCGGCAACACGTGTATTTCCCTATTTGAGTACTGTACTGGTTATCTCCTCTGAGAATTTTCAATCATATTCGGACAAAAAGGACAAAACCTTTGGTCATTTGTTATTTTAGGTACATGTACGCGGTAGGGCGGCAACTGGTGGTTATATAAATTATAAATTTAAACGACCTGTTAGTATAGTGTTACACCTAACCTTTGCACATCTAACTCAAGACGTTGTTTGCGGCATGACAAGATATCTAGTGGGGATGCCTCTACCCTACTTGTCGGCAGCGATTTATACTGTACTATAGTTCTAAGAAAAAAAAAGAATTTTAATGTTAAGAATGCGGTGATGTAGAGGTCCCTTCCTCCAAATTATATTTTTAACATCACAAAGAAACAAGAAAAAGCCGATCCTCTGTATTAGAGCATGAAGGTGATTTTCTACTTCCATGATTAGAGCAGTTTTTGGAGCTAATGTAGTTACCTGTTTTTACTACAAACATGTAGATACCTTTTCTTAGCCTGCTCACTTGTACTTAGCCCGATAGGGCATGAGTGGACAATAAAAGGTTATCTGTTAATCCCCAAGCAGTGGGGGAAGGCGGCAGGCTACATCCTCATCACATTGGCCGCGTGTATCCATTGGGCTCCTGTAACCGCGCTGGAGGCCCTTTACAGGAGCTCTAGCCCAACATAGACTCCCCTTGTTCCACTTTAGTCCCCAGTCTGCTCGGCAGAAGAGACCGAGAGGGGCTCCCCGCACCCACTAGATCGACAATCTTGCAACATACCTGGCACTGGGCAGCACTATCTTAGACTAAGCACTAAGGCTTGCCCACAACAGATGGAGATGGAGGGAACTGGTTGTCCTGGTGGGCTCTACGCACTCCGTGCAACAGGATTGAGTGAGTGAGTGAGTGAGTGAGTGAGTGAGTGAGTGAGTGCAGAATTGGCTTGGAGGTACATGTAACACCTTGTGTTGTACCCAGGTGGCGTGGCCTGTCGTTAGCCGGTATGGAGGGACCAGAGGAAGCTGGGCTGGTGGCAGACAGTAACGTCACTACAGGTGCTGCTCAGACATTCATCCTCCGTGTTTTAACCTGTCATAACCTTTACAAACGTTTGTAGGCTAATGGCCAATGGCCTACATAGAATACCTAGTAGACATTTTTCTAATGATTTCTTTAGAGAGCCTGACAACGCAAAATTGAAACATAATTGCATTTTATAAAGTCTCACGTATACTGGCAGGTTTGTTTTAAGCAGTAGAGTTTTTCCGTATTGACAAAAAACATGTTTCTTGATTTGCGTGGAGTTTGCAAGAAGTTGCATGTATTTTGACCAGTGCAATAAATAAAGCAATCGTTTTTCATTCAGGAGGTTGCAGGTTCAAACCTTGGACATTTTGCTTTCTCTGCTTAGCACTCAATATAGTTATGAGAAACAGTACAGACAATATCAGCAGACTAACCCCATTCTGTAGTGCTTGCATAACTGTGAAGCCCAAGGTGTATACATAATGGAGATGTGCACCATATACATAAGGCACTGAACGATTAATCTCCAAGGAGATCATACGGTGGCAAGGCATTGGGCAGGAGTGTCCATTAGCCACCGGAGCTAATGGACACTCCTCTGGCCAATGGATACTGGAACTTCCTTGTCACCGTATGATCTGCTTGAAGATTACTGAAAGATACGAGAAGGACTTAAGATATTTAACACTTCTATCATTTCCAGCTGAAAACGTCACCTATCCAGAGAACAACATCACGTATCAGGAGATCCCGCCTCTCGGCGCGGAGGATTTTTTTAATTCCTGTGTTGTTCAATATACGCAAGGCACTACAAGTTGCGAGAATTCGAAGGGTTTTAACTTTTCTATATTTCCAGCTGAAAACGTCACCTATCCAGAGAACAACATCACGCGTACGTATCAAGAGATACCGCCTCTGCTCTCGGAGCGGAGGGTGTTTTAATTGCAGGGCCGTTCCTGTGTTGGTTACTGCTAGTTGCGAGAATTCGAAGGGTTTTAACTTTTCTATATTTCCAGCTGAAAACGTCAGCTATCCGGAGAACAACATCACGTATCAGGAGATCCCGCCCCTCGGCGCGGAGGCGTGGGTCGTGCCCGTGCTGTTCGTCCTGATCGGGGTTGTCGGGGTGGGCGCCAACGGGCTCGTCATCTACGTCAGCAACAAGTTCAAGGAGCTGAAGACCGCAACCAACCGCTACATCGTGAGCCTGGCGGTGACGGACTTGTCCTTTCTGCTTGTCTGCGCTCCCTTCACCGCTTCGCTCTTCGCGACCACCAGCTGGGCTCTGGGCAAGTCTATGTGCAAGTTCGTCTTCTACTTCATGCAGGTGAGCACTGTATGATCTCTGTTTGTTTGTTTGTTTGTTTATTTGTGCATCTATTTACCCTCGAAGCTACTCTATTCAGTCAATTGGCCATTAAGGCTTTCCATATCTGTATCTGTATCTCTATCTGTATCTGTATCTGTATCTGTATAGCCGGTATAACCACCCTTCGGTGAAACACTAGCTTCGCAGGCACGCGGCGCGGCGGCAGCTGGCTACATTACACCGAACGACATAGAGGTAGAGTTGTGAGGAGCGTCAAGGGACCCGACAATGTCTTATGTTTGTTTGTTTGTTTGCGTGTTTGTTTGTTTGTTTGTTTGTTTGTGTAGGTGACGGTGAAGGCGATGTGTCTGACCAGGTGCGCCCTGACTGTTGACCGGTACGTCGCTATCGTCCATCCCATCGCCTCCATCAGCTACCGGACCCCGCGGTTCGCAGTCGCCGTCAGCGCGTGCATCTGGATCGGTGAGTCAGCCTGCTGGTAGCCCAACCTATTTCAAGTCCTTTCTGTATCTGTACCTGGATGTAACTTAAGTCTAACACACCAGCTTCTGTATCTGTCTAGCCAGTATAGCCACCCTTCGGCTTAACACACCAGCTTCTGTATCTGTATCTGTATATCTGTATCTAATATAAGCTTCACGGACAGCACAAATCACAATAGAGTTGGCCAATAGGGACGTCCGGACTTTCTTATCCTATTGAGCAAATATGCTGATGCTAATATACCCCAAATTCATGTCAACTGAGAACTGTCCGTTGCCATGGTGACGGAGGCTGTGATTTTGCGAAAATACCCCAAAACACGCTTTGAGATAAAAGTCTTCCGCTTGTAAGGTTTTTTTTGCTATTTATACACCAGCGTGGTTTATATAACAGCGTGGTGCTGGGGCCTGATAGCGACTTAAAGGGATTGAATACCGTCTAGTAAAAAGTATCTAAGAAACAACTTACAGATGTATACCTTTGTAAAGTGTTGGTGGACTAAGGTGCACAGATAGGCCGCAAAGTTCAACTGGATGGTACGTTTAAAGTGAAGGTTCCCCTCAGGCCATTTTTTTATGTAACCTTTACCACCGTTTTGAAAGTCTATCTTGTATTCTTCTCTGGTTTTTGTATACAAAGAGGCCGCAAAGTTTAATCGGATGGTTCGTTTAAAGTTAAGGTTCCCTTCAGGCTACTTTCTGAATGTAACCTTTGCCAACGTTTAGAATGTCTATCTTGTATTCTCCTCTGGTTTTTGTTCCTCTGGTGCCTAGTTGAAAGACCTAATGATACAAAGATTTTCTTTTCATGATATAGTGTACAGGGTTGCCATGCGATACCGTACAGCTTCAGGCTGTGTACCTAACTACAATAACTAAAGCACACCCACCACAAAATGTGCACTAAGGACGTTACAAAGTTTAATTGGATGGTTCTTTTAACGCGATGGTTCCCTCCAGGCTTCGAGATACAATTTCTAGCTTATATTCGCCTCTCCGTTTTGTTCCTTTGGCGTCAAGTTATTAAAAGACCTAATGATACAAGATTTTCTTTTCATGATAGTGTACAGTGTTGCCATGCGATGCCGTGTGGCTTCAAACTGTGTACCTAACTACATGTACAAAGCACGCCCACCACAGAATTGCACTAGAGATTTTACAAAGACGGTGTTACACGGTCAGTGATCTATAAATTTGTTGATTGAGAAAGGTTTGCTGAATTCTCAAATCACCGGAGATTCAGGGGTTTCCTCCGACTGAAGATCTACACTAGTACTGTTACACTGGACGGGGTTTGAGGATCTGCAAACATCGAGTGATCCATAAAAATCGCACAATGATCGCTCAGGTCTGCAAGATAGTAGAGATACACTTGATTCCTGCCAGCTGCCTTCGTGTTTTAACTTGTTGCATTTGCTGGGCACTTTTGTGTAATCGTTTGCTCTGATTTGAAAATGAACAGCAAGCATAAGTCTGCTCTCATATCGTCTGCGGGCACAACTTCAACGAGATCAGCGCCAAAATAGAAAAAAAATACAAAATGTTATGTTCCAACCAGAGGAAAAGCAGAGGGACGAACAACAATCATTTTTTAACGAAATCAGCGCCAAAATAGAAAAAGAAAACGTTATACAAGATGTTTTTTTCCAACAATCATCTGTTGAATAGACAGCTCTCTGACTCTGATGAATCCCCAGAGGCGTT